ATTCCCAAAATCAAAGAAACACAAGAGCCCTCTCTTCATGTTTCCAATGCTGMTGACTCCAAAACAGCTATTTGAGCAGAGACTTCTACCAGCTCACCTCCTCTTGAGGCCCCKTTGACTTCATTTTTCTTGGGACAAATTCTAGAAACCACTTCTACTGTATTCAGAAGCATTTCATTCAAATGACATCAGGCTACCCTGACTCCTCCTCAGCATGACTCTAAGACAGTGCAAATTTCAGAATTCTAAGCTATTCTGAAATCTCTAAATTTTCTACAAAACTTAGAAGCTTTGAAGTCTGTTGTTCTCCTCTCTGTCCACAAAAAGATGACAATTTTTTTCCCCATGCTCTTGTCTGAGACTAGCTGCTTTAAACTATTTTAGCAGCTTTAACTTCAAGATTAGAAATTGTAGATGTGATTTATTTAAAATACCTAATRTCTATGGACAGCTGAAACCCCAAAGACCATTTAATCTTGGCTCTGGTCTGCAGATCAGAGGATCTCTCTGAAGAAGGGCAAGATGCTGTAGATTGTATAAATGTCTTTTTTTTCGTGGAAAGAACTAAACTGCTTCATGGAAAGAATGAAATGAGTTCAAGCTATAGCGCTTGTAATCTTGCCTTCACTGTTAAAATGACAAAAAAAAATTACTGAGGAGAGAATAATTTCCCACATTTCAATACACACCAGAACAATTTGTTCCTCCAGCAAAATTCCCAGGAATGGTTGAGCTGAAATGAATAAATTACATAAAATGTGTAATTCCCATGCAAAATTCTGTTACTTTGATGCTTATTCCCATTTCCATTTATGAAGTTGGATGTTTATTCATTCTCAACTGCTTCAATGCTTTAGAGGACTCATCATACCTATAATTAATAGTTAATAAATTAATATAATRTATAGCTTCTTGTAAAATAGGAACAAAACCAAAAATATGCTTGAATAATCGATAGCAAATTCTCAAAAATATTACTTTTTTAGGACAGATACGATATTATTCTCAATAATACCTGCAAGAAAAGAAGAATAAAAGCACACAAATAAATTTACTTACAGTGTTTTCAGACTATCTAGTCCTTTGAACATTTTGTGTTGAACACTTTCCAAGCGGTTGCTTGTGAGCAATAGTTCATTCACACCAGAGGCTCCATCAAATGCTCCTTCTTCTATATCTGTAATCTTGTTATTGCTCAGGTTTCTGATACACATTAACAGAAAGAGAGAAGAACTGAGGGGATTTTCTTTTATAAATATCCTAAATTTACTGTTAAATGCTGCAGACTGCATAAATTTCAAGACAGAACCTTAATTTTCCACAAAGCCTGAAAAATGCCTACAAGATCATCAAATGCAATCTTCACACAGTAGCCAAGTTATTGTGTAAAAGCACAAAATATAAATATATAATTCAGCTTCAAACCAGTAAAAAAATTTGAATGTTCTTCTAATTAAAGAAGCAAAGATTTTTAAAGTAATCTTTGAAAGATGTTTTTAAATAATGGCAATTACCCAATCCAGATTGCTGTCACCCAATAACCTATTTTCCTAATTTTGAATCTTATTGGTAACTATATTTTTTCAGGTCTCTAGCSTTTGTAGCATTTTTTAATGAAKTAATAACAAAATTATRCTGTATGAGTACAGCACAACTAATYTCTCTGATTTCTTTATTTTATCTCAATTGATAAAAATAAGAAAACAGTATAAATAGCAACATATGTAAATGAAATATGTGAATGTAAACAGTATATGAAATGTTAATAATTTATGACATTAGTTAGAAAGGAGTGTTTRTAAGCAAGATAGTTAATTTATCTGCTATTTGCATGCAAAGTGGATCAAATTGTGGGGAAAAATGACCTAAAATACTGCCAAAATATTTAGTGTTTATGATTTTAGTTGAAATAAGGAAATAACATCCCAAATGGATAATATCTGTACTATATATACACAAAAGCATACATATGCAACAGCACATGTTTTTAAAATATTTTTCATGTTACTACCCTTTGGTTTTGTTTGTTTCATATCATCATTCACACATATTACAGAAGTACATAGCTACACATTAATTAGTGTCACAATACACTAGCAATTTTTAAAAAGCTCTTAAAAGCTCTCAAAGTGACAGGAAATAAAGCTAAARACTGTTTGATGGAATCAATGGTATTGAGAAGAAAAACAAACATTATTTCATGCAATTTCTAGAACAGTGTTTAAATCATTCAAAACAAGAAGGATACTATTTGTTAGAATAAAAACCAAGAAGTTGTGGCTTAATCTTTAATGCTGAATACTCTCTCTAGCCTAAAATTTAATKAACACCTTGCCTGTGAATGAAGGATACAATCCTGGAATCAGTTAGGTTASACAGGACCTTTAATACAATCAAATCCAAGTATTTAATCCAGCACTGCCAAATCTATTACAAAAACATATCCCTAAGTCTTTTAAATTCTTCCATGGACGGCGACTCTTCCCTGGGTGGCCTGTTTCACTGCTTGACGGCCCTTTCCATGGAGAAACCAAACCAAACCTGCTCTGCTGCAGTTTGGCATAAATTCTTCTCATCCTTACGCTTGGGAGAAAAGGCCCACCCCCACCTCACTACAGCCTCCTTTCAGATAGTTGTAAAGACTGGTAAGGTCCCTACTRAGCTTCCATTTCTCCAGGCTAAACAACCCATTTCCTAAGGTGCTCTTCACCAGACTTGGGCTCCATACCCTCCAGCAGCTCRGTTACCCTTCTCTGGACTCTTTCCAGCCCCTCAGTGTCTTTTTTTGTAGAGAAGAATTCAAAACTGAACAAAGTACTCAAGATGTGGCCTTGCCAGTATCAAGGGACAGTYACTGCCCTGGTCCTGCTGGCCACAGCATTGCTGATACAGCCCAGGTGCCATCTGCCTTGGCCACCCAGGCACAAACTGGTTCATGTTCACGGCTGTCAACCAGCACCCCCAGGTCTCTTCTGCTGGGCAGCTTTCCAGATACTCATCCTCAATTCTGCAGTGCTGCAGGGGACGTTGTGACCGTAGTGCAGGACCTGGCACCTGGACTTGCTGCACYTCACACTTTTGGCMTTGGCCCATYGATSCAGCCAGTCCAGATCCCTCTGCACAGCCTTCCTGCCCTGCAGCAGATCAACACTCCCACCCAACGTGGTGTTATCTGCAAACTTGCAGAGAGTGAATTTAATTCTCTCACCCAGATCGTCCATAAAGGTATTAAACACAACTGGCCCCAATATAGAGCTCTAAGGAACACCACTTGTCACTGTCTGCTGACTGGATTCAACTTCATTCACMACTCTCTGRGCCCAGCCTCCTGCCATTCTTTYACCCARCAAAGTGTATGTCCATATATGTCCAGTCCAAGCCATGGACAGTTAGTTTATCCGGGAGAATGCTCTGGAAAATGGTGCCAAAGGCYTAACAAAAGTCTAAGCAGAGAACATGCACAATCATCACTTTTATTTAAAYAGCTTCACAGTGGAGCTGTTCAGTCTGCAGGGTGCTGTAGAAGACCAGAAACAAGAAACTAATTCTAATCTTAAATGGCTTATCCATGTCAAGCCCTTAGCTTCCTAAAATCTTTTTTTTTCTTGCTGTGACATGGATACTACTTCACCCACTTCACATAGATATTTTAAAGATTAATGTTGCATAGCTAATCGATGTTGCAGTGCATACACATGCTTTATGACTGATGAAGCAGCAAATCAATGAAATATTTAGGCCTCAATTTTTCAATGTCATCTGTACAGAAAGATCTTTGCACCTATTTTGAACCTCCAGAAGAAAAATGAGCTTCACAAAAATATAGAATTCACTCATATTGGTGTCTCTGTAACATCAGTGCTTCACTGCTTTCCAGTGAGGCTCAAGCAGTCACTGCATTATTCTTTCACTTAAAAAATGTTGAAACAACTGATAACTGTATTAGGAAGTTATGAAGCAGTATTATTAAAATAGTTAACTTTTTTTTTTCTCTTCAATTAACCAGATTCCAAAACCCCTGGAAGTTCCAATAGAGAGCTACACTGAGACTGACTAATATTATCCCTTTTTCTTTTGTCTTGAACACCTCCTGAACTTAAAAGAAATATTGTTAAATGTTATAACAAATATCTGATATATGTATAAATGTATGCTTACACATGTGCATGTATGACACATCAAACACCATATTTATTTCCTAGAATCCTGCAATTACAGAATGTCTTGGGAAGGAAAAAACCTTAAATATTATCTAGTTCCAATCCCTCTGCTGTAGGCAGGGACAACTTCCACTAGACCAGGTTGCTCAGAGACCCATCCAACCTGGCTCTGAACACTTCCAGTTATGGGGTGTCCACAACTTCCCCAGGCAACTTCTTCCAGTGTCTCATCACCGTCAGAGYAAAGAATTTCTTTCTGATATCTAATCTAAAGCTGCTCTCTTTCAGTTTAAACCCATTCCTCCTTGTCCTGTCACTCACAAAACGTTTCTCCATCTTTCTTATAGTCTCTCTTCAGGTACTTAAAGGCCACATTTACATCACTGAAGCCTTCTCTTTTCCAGACTGAACAAACCCAATTCCTTCAGCCTTTCCTTGTAGGAGATCTGCTCCATTCCTCTAATCATTTTGGTGGCMTCCTCTGGACTTGCTCCAAAAAGTCCATGTCCTTCCTTTGCTGGGGATCCCAGAGCTGAATGCAGCTCACCAGAGTGGAGGAGAGGGATAGAATCCMGTCCCTCAACCTGCTGGCCACAGGGCYTTGGATGCAGCCCAGGGCACAACTGACTTTCTGGACTGCAGGCACATATTGCCCAGCCATTTCAAAATTCTTGTCAACCAATATMCCCAARTCCTCGATCTGCTCATCCCCAGCCYACATTGATGCTTGGGGTTTCCAGGACCCAGGTGCAGCACCTTGCACTTGGTCTGTTGTACATCATGAGATTCCCAGGACTCACTTCTTGATCTTTTCCAGGTCCCTCTGGATGACATCCTGTCYTTCAGGTGTGCCAACAGAACCACTCAGTTTGGTATAATTTGCAAATTTTTTGAGGAAGCACTAGAATYCTTCATCTATGTCATTGATGAGGACATTAGCTACAGTTCCTTAAGGGACACCATTTGTCACTGACGTCTGTTGGCACTCTGAGCCACTGACCATTACCCTCTGGATGCAGCTGTCCAAACAATTTCATATCCATCTAAGTCCACCCATCATCTCTYTCCAATTTAGAGAGAAGGATGTGGAGGGGCCCATGCCAAAGGCTTTACAGAAGTCCAGATAAATGGCATCTACAGACCTTGTCCACTGATATTGTTACTTGATACTTCAAAAGTACACTGCAGCTGTAAAAAGGGCTAATCTGAGATTCTTGAAGATTGAAGAAAAGTGCTAATCTGAGATTCTTGAAGATTGTTCTGTATAGCACCAGAACACTGTTGTGCCAGACATTCCTACAATCTGTTTTCTAAGTACTGCAGCCYAGTTCAAAGTGGCAAGRTGTACTCAAGTTGAGAGGTCAAAARCAAGTTCATTTTACATTGCTGGAATTTTAAAAATCTTTAAAACTAAAAAAAATCAATAATAAATATTTAACTAATTGTGATCATGCCAGCAAGGATCTGGTTAAAAATAGTTTAAGCAATGCTATTGCTCTCTTAAGATTTTGATCACTAGTAATTTAGACAGATCTCTTACAAATGGTTGTCACTTGGTGACTACTAATCTATTTTTACTTGTATTTTTCTTTACTTACTATTTATGTTTGGATTTAATCCTGAAATGATTGAGCAGAGAGTCACAAAGACTAACTAAATTATCTACCCTCAAATATGTCTTTTACATAAGCTAAAGAAAAGCTTTTCATAGTCTTATATTTAGCAACAACTGCAACTGGTAAGATTATAACTCCTCATAGAACATCAGCTGTTAAGATGGACTTACATGGCTGACCTATCAAACCATATTTTCTCAGTCATTTAATTTTGATATTCCCCTCACCTAATGACAGTTTAATGAAGCACAGAATCAAAGGCATGCCCTTAWTGTGCTGAAAGAGGCAAAATTGTCTGGTCAGAGGGTAATACAGGATGTTGCAAAAGATTACTGGAATCTTTTGTAAGCAGCTTATGCTGCGAGCTCCCTGCTGCGGCTGCACAACAGAGCAGCTGGTGGGACACTGCGGCGAAGGTGCTGCAGCGACACACCATGAGCAGTGGCTGCTGGCACTGCCAAACCCCACAGGGACGAGCTGCCAGCTCTCACCTGCCTCAGGGATTCATTTAAACCTATTATTGATATTATATTACAATATACTGAATCTTTTGTAGATTAGAACTAAGAAGGGTGGAGAGACACAGCAAGGAGTGTGTACACAATTTGAATAGACAAGGTCGTTGAAGTCGCACTTACATTTTACGCAGCTGAGGAAGTTTCTTAAAGATTCCAGTAGCTTCAAGGACTGAAAATTCATTGTTATTTAGTCGCCTAAAAGAAATAACATCAATTTCAGAAAGAAAAAAATGATTCAGGCATTGGTACCGAATGTTCCATATTAAGTGAACTTTTCAGTCTGGTTTCCCTGAATAGCTGATGTTTAACTGGAAGTGGGAACAATTCCTTACTTAGTGACATTTCTAATTTTGATAATTCCTGTGAATGACCATTCTCATTCCTGTGCATGAACAGTCTCATTAGTTAAACTTAGGCATATGCAAGACATTTTCAAAACCTGATCACAAAATTTTAAACARCTAAAACTGAAAAGAAATGTAAAATGATGTTTTTAATTTTTYAAACAAAAATGTAACTAATGAAGGACTCCATGGCAACTTATAAATAAAAGTCTKTAAGAAGAACATGTAAACCACTGAAGATTAATCTTCTGTTCTTTAAAGGGTATCAGGTGGAGTCCGCCAGACATCTGGAGGTACTCACAGAACACTATTTATAAGAATGAAATAATTACTCAATGCTTCTTTYGAATAGGGAACGAAACTCACTGCATAGGTCTTCCCATGAATTTAAAAACACTTCTCTCACCATGATTTATCTTMTTACCACTACAGCTGGCACACATATATTGCTTAAAGCAACATTAAATACTGAYTTGTAACACTGTAAGAAGGCATACAATGAGCAACAAATACTAGCTGGGCACTTGTCTCTCCTGCACAGATATCAAGGCTTACAGTWCTGGACACCTTTAACAGCAGCTAGGTTAGGGGACCACCTATATTCCAAAAAAATGCCTGCATTGACCCAGTACTTCTTATTTTCTCTCTTGAAAAGAAAATGGAAATTATGAGTCTTAGATCACTTATATGCTCTAATGGAACTATCTTATTAAGGAAAGGAGTCTGTTTTTCTTTAGACATCTTAAATAGGAAAGAGAACATGTGACTGGCAAGATCACTGTGAAATGAAATTCAGCATAATTCTAAACTCAGAATGATTTTCAGAATTACCTTATTGCAAGACAAGTTAAAAAAATCCTAGAAAATTAAAGCAAGCTGCTTGTTCATCCTTCCCTCCTGTTCATTCTCATTGACAGCCACAAGGGAAATTAAAGTTGTAAATCTCAAGGTATGGTTGTACAACAATTTCAACATGGAGCCAAAGAGAAAGAAGACAGAATTTTTTTTGGATAGACACAGAACATTCATATACCACACCAAACTACAAGGAACATAAACTTCAAAAGATGCTACCACCTTTAAAAATCACCTGAATGACTTAA